CCTCCGCACCGACGATGCCTTCATCCTGCGGTTCCTGCGGGCCAGGAAGTTTCAGCACTTCGAGGCGTTTCGCCTCCTGGCCCAGTACTTTGAATATCGCCAGCAGAACCTGGACATGTTCAAGAGCTTCAAGGCCACAGACCCGGGCATCAAGCAGGCGCTGAAGGATGGCTTCCCCGGCGGGCTGGCCAACCTGGACCACTATAAGATCCTCGTCCTTTTTGCTGCCAACTGGGACCAGAGCAGGTAAATGCAGAGCCACCCGCCTGCCTTAACCCCTTCTTTTCCCGGGCGATGCGTGGGAAAAGCTGTGGCGGACCAGGGAGAGGGTGGGTGGGCAGCAGGGACACACCCGGCTCTGCCCACAGGGGCTGGGCAGCAGCCTGGGAGGCAGAGGGAGGAGAGAAAGAAGAAATGTCTTTTGTGGCTTAGGGCCTTTTCAGCCTTCTCATCCTTTAAGCTCTGAATTTTGTGAGGGAAGTAGGAACTGCTCGAGTGCTCTTCTCAGCTGGTTGATATGAGGTTTACACCCTTCTGCTTTCCCTTAGCCGAAGTGAGCTGGCACGGTAGATGATGTGCTCATCCCCCTGACAAAGGCTGGCTGTGATCTCTGTGCTGGTCTTTCTGCTTCAGCATGCACAGAGCTGCTCAGGTGCCATAGGAGAAAGTGGGAGATGCTGTGTGTAAAACAGGATTATCCATCACGGCTTTTGAGCTGAAAAGTTTGCCTGTGCAGGAAACAGAGGCTCCCAATCCTTTCCCTCAACGAAAGAAAGCTCTTCCTGAGCCACCTGGAAGTGCTAGGATGGAAGTTACAGTAACCGCTTATTTCCCCACTCTTGCTGCTCCAAGTGTGAATTCCCTGCATAATAACATCCAAGCACACAAAGCTTTGGTGGCAAATTGAAGGAGGCTAGTGCTGTCTCCACAATTTCTGATCCTTTTTGGAACTACTCTAGGCTGAAGATGACTTAGCAGGCTGACCCAAGAGCTGTCTCCCATCAAGGCCTTTTCTTTTAGCAATAGTCTTGATACTATGTGACACTATTTGGTTATTCTAAAAAACGTCATTGAGTGTCATGTCTTGTTTCTCCTGCAGTCTAAAATTGCATTCACAAAAATTGCTTGATTTTCAGTACATGTAAATGAACGAATCCATTAAGAGTGAGCTCTAAAGCCTACTCCTGTGAGCACTGCATGGCTTCCCTGGGCTCCCAACCTGAGAGCAGGCTTAGCATCTGATGCACTTCTTGCTAGTTGACTTCTCATGAACCCAAACTGTCTTTTGTGCAGTCAGCATGGGCAGGGCACAGGCAGTGCTGAGTGCTCAGTGCAGATATCCCAAGCTCAGCTATTCGGAAATGTGAGGAGGGCACAAATAGCTAGTGGTGTGGATAGAAAAGACAAAGTTTGGGGGATTGGCATACTTAAGCCTGCCCTTTAAGCTGTCCCCTTGCAGGCTATGTCGATAGCCCTTGCAGGGAATGATCCCACAGCTCCCTGCAGCAGTCGGTGTTACAGCTAGGGATGGGTCTCTGCCTGGAGGGCCATTGACCCACCATGGCTTTCCTCCTCCACAGGCAGGGTGGCCACATCCATACTGCCTACGAGGGGAGTTTCCTGGTCCTCGCTAACCCGTGAATCATGCCTAGGGACTGGGAGAAAGCCAAGCTGCCCGGCACAAATCAAAACTGCCCACGACCAGGCTAACAACTAGAAAGTGTGGATGAACATACGCAGAGGTGGGGCCAGTGTCCGTTCCCTGCCTTGGTTTTCTGGCAGGTGGAGCTAAAGAAGCTGAGTGAGGAAGCAGCGGTGATGAGGCTAAGGACTCTCTGAGTGGGCTTCATTTCCCACAAAAGGACCAGGAACTTTTTATTTTAAAATAAATAAAAAAATCAACTTTTTATTTTGAGAACAGCTCCAGATGATGTTTAGGTCTTTTATTAAGTCATATGTCTACCATGAACAAGTTCTCTTGTTAAAGGTAGTGTGGCCTACTCTATACTGCTATTTCTCATTAACCAGAAAAAAACGCAAAGCTTTATGTGACACTTTTCAGATCATTAGTTCCTAGACAAAAAGAACACTAAGAATTTGAATTCAGAGATAAAGTACCATTAAAAAAATAATTGCCATATGAAAAGGATAGATTTACTTTCTTCTCTTTTTGGATGTGCTGATATTTAAACTACATGAGATCAGCTGACACAACGGTGAATTTATTATGATCTTTTTCATGAAGTCCTATTGGTAAAATTATTGTTTATGATATAATAGGGAAGAGACTGGGGTACACAGGGGTACCTAATGGCCATGTTTGCAGTTGGGTCCCTATTGCTCTTCAGCACTGCCTGCCCACGGTAAGCCGCTTCTCCTGAGTGAGAGATTTGTTTTCAGATAGACCACTCAGACAAAGGGAAGAGAGCTGAAGCCCAGCTGCGGGGAGTGGCTTGCTCCAAGGCACATGACAAGTCAGTGACAGATCTGGGAATGGAGCTAGGTCACTCTTTTTCCCAATTAATTTAGTGTCTTCCGTTATCTGATGTTCAGCAACTGAACCTGGGGAGCATTGTGTGTGGAACGTATACTAGAGCTGCTACGCAGTATGTGTGAAGCTTATGCCTTAACTGACTTGAGATCTTGCAGGATGTGCACCGATGCTCCTCTTACAGCAGCACTGGGAGGATTACTTTTTGGAGTCGGTCTTGCTACGACCTCTTCGTGTGGTTCATAAACTAATTTAATAAAGCACAGCAAGCCTTCAAATTTGTCATGTGTGTACGACCTATTATGGTCAGCATGTAACAATTAGAAATGAAAAGTTCTGTTTTGTTATTTACATAAATAGCAGATATACTATAGATGATTTATATAGCACCAGCAGCCTGTGATTTACGTAGTTCCAATTAGAAAGAAAAGCGTGGGAGGCGGAAAATTCCTATGGTAAAACAAGCCTGTGTACGAGATGTTAAATCATTAAATTAAAGCAGGGCTGAAAACTGTACCAGATGTCCTACCATCTGAACAACTAAATCAGACATGTATTTAAAACAAACAAACAAAAAAAGGGAAAGGTAAAGGATAATGCAGTAAGTAGCTTAGCAGCTTTTCAGTGGGACCCTGCCTAACTCTCCCCCCTGTCTCTACTATGGGGAAAGTGAAGACGGGTGGCATTCCTGCCAGGAGGCTGGATAGCACTTGGGGAGGGATCAGCCTTCCCTATTAGCTTCCAGATTGTTGTTTCATAACTACATTTGGCTGTAGGTGTGTACATGCATTTGAAGACTCCCTTTTTCTTAATGTATCCAGCTGGTGAAGTTTTTTTTTTCAGTTAATGGTACAATTAACTTCAACTCTCAGTGGCAAGGGGTCTGTTGTCAGGCATGTTCTTCTGTGTGCTTGGTGGCACCTGTACACAAATTCCCTAGAAACATCAGTCCTTTTAGTGCTATTTATTTGAAATCTTTCCTGGTATTAATTCTGTCAGTATTTTTCCCAGGAAGTGCAATGGGAAAGCGCAGTAGAAGAGCGCAGTGATACCTAGTTTCTGTCTGTGTCACAGTGACCCAGTCAGCTCGTGCTAACCTCAGTGAACACCGAAACCCACTGCACTCAGTACCATTAGCTCTGCTGTTGCATCAGATGATTTACAGCAGGGCAAAGATGGAGTCCACTGGTTTGCTTTCAAAACTATGCTTTCATGGGCAGAAGTGCTAGAAACTTTTCTTTTCCTCCCATTAAATGAAAATTTAAATTCGGTAGCTATTAGGAGGCTGATCTGCTCCTCAGTTCACTATTAACACCTTTTCCTCCCATTAAATGAAAATTTAAATTCAGTAGCTATCAGGATCTGCTCCTCAGTTCACTATTAACAGAAGCGAGTTGGCAGGGTATTTTTCAAGCTCTGATGGAGGCAATGTGACAAAATAAATAGCAATGCTAACAATAATAACATATTAACAATATCAAAATACCTGGTTAATAGAGTCAATTTTTGTTTGGAAGTAATATCTTTCAAATAATAATTATTAACGAGTGCAAACACTGTCATTTTTTTCTACAGTTTCTCCTGCTGACTGGTGCTGTCTTATTGTTTCCTGGCTTTCCCCCAGCTATCTGTATCTGCCTATTATCACTTGTATTTAGACTGTGAGTGTTTTGGCTAGGAATCTTTTTGATCAAGGCTAATGTAAAATTCAGATCAGCTGAATCTTCCGTGATCATCATCTGTGGCTGTGGCTGTTAGACACTGGGCTAACATAAGGAGTAATGAATGGTATTGAATCTGAATCTAAAAGGTAATCTGGTGAAATATTTGAAGCAGCTTCTATTTTTCTATGCATTTTTGTGACAGTGGCAGTGCTTTTTCTTTTTAGAATAAGGGCCCCCAGGACATGCTGCCACAATTTAAGCAGAATAGCTATAAGAGAAGTTTAGATCCCCCATCTTTTCAGCATTCAAATCTGTACCTGGACTGACAGACCAAGGAGATCAGAGGTATTATTTCTAAGTACTCCTTTGTGTATCTTGAGGGTTCTTGTTTCACTGAAATTCTAAAAATAATAAGCCAAAGCAGTAGGTAAGAAATGGGATGATGGCTGAGAGACTTGACCAGCTTTCTTTTCTAAACCACAGTGGCACAAGAGCTCATTTGACAGACACCTTTACTTGTCCAAATGGTGATGAGCTTAGAATACAGATTGTGCATTCCTTACATGTTTGGGACCTTCAGGAGACATGTGGGTTAAATTCAAGCAAAGATTTACTGTTTATCTCTTCTAGTTAACGGTTTGCATCCTGAGAGGCAGACTCATGTCACTCAGTTTTAATTCTCAAAATAACTTGGAATTTCTTGATATCGGGGGAGAGATGACAAATAGCAATAGAGATAGTAGGGCAACTCTGCCAAATCAGATTATCTGTTACTCAGTGCAAATGTGAATCAACTGGGACCAGAATCTGGTGAAACAGATGATATGGTGGATGCCACCCATCATCAAGAACATAAAATATTGAAAACAGCTGACACAGCTGGATTTGACATGAGATATCTATATCATATGTTCTCCTTGTCTCTTCTCTTTCTGTTGGCCTGATGGAAATCACAGTGGCCTCTGGGAGTGAAGAGGATGTGTAGACCGCATAACCAAGGGGTAAAGGCGAAAGATCATAGTGAAGTCCTACCAAGAGTTGATAGCAGTGTCTGCCAGCCTGTTTTTCCCAGAAATCCTTGGAAATACTTA